ACATGAGAGAATCAGACCCCCGCCCCCACACACACACGAGAGGCTGAGAGACACAGGTAAAACGAGGCACCTGTGACCTGGGCGCGGGGAGGGCCCTGGGCTTGGAGAGGAGGGGTCATCAGCAGGACAGGCTCCGTAATTACGTGTTTACCTGCCACGCGGACCGGGCACAGAGCCTTATCTCTGGTCATAAATCTTATCGTGGGCAAAGCCCTTCATTTAAACCTCCAGGTGGTGACGTGGGGTGAGGGGGGCAGACGTTTCTCTGGAGCCTGCAAGGTCCCCATTGCTTTTAGGTCAGAATGATCCTCATGCCAGCCCCGGCCAGTCTGGCTCTGTGGTTAGAGCACCGGCCCAAGGACTGACGGGTCATGGGTTCGATTCCAGTCGGGGGCACAGACCCCGGTTGCAGGTCCACCCCCAGCCCCGATTGGGGTGCATGCAGGAGGCAGCCAATCGATGTGCCTCTCACATCGATGTTTCTCTCTCTCCCCCTCCCTTCCACTCTCTCTAAAAATCAATGGAAATCTAGCCTCGGGTGAGGATCAACCACATCAAAAGTGACCCTCATGCCAAGCGGCTCGCCCTGGGGACCTGCTCTGACCCCCTCACTGCAGGCCCCGTGGGTGAGAGGCAGGGGGGGGGGCGCCCAGAACTATGACTGAGTGGCCGGCGCCTTCAGTCCCAGGAGGTGGGTGACTCCCAGAAACAACACGGCCACACGCTGCCTGGGGCGTGGCCACAATGACCAGTGCAGGGGGCCCATCGGTCACGGCTCCGTGTGGCCCCACAGTCAGGGCCTGGCTCCCTGCCGACTGCTGGGAAGAGTCCGATGGGCCCCCCGAGCCGTGTTCGTTACCCACAGCTCTGGGTCCCTCCCAGCAGCGGCCAGCAGATGGGAACGGCCAGGCCCCAGGAAGGACACGGGCCAGGCACACTGGAGGCAACTCATGATTGCCAGGGGGTGGCCCGGCCGGCCTGGCTCAGTGGCTGAGCGTCAACCTATGAACTAGGAGGTGAGGGTTCGATTCCTGGTCAGGGCACAGGCCTGGGTTGTGGGCTCGATCCCTAGTAGGGGGCGTGCAGGAGACAGCTGATCACTGATTCTCTCTCATCATAGGTGTTTCTATCTCCCTTCCTCTCTGAGATCAATAAAAACATATTTAAAATAATGATAATTGCCAGTGGGTTGAGCACGTGATGTGATTAGAAGCCCCCCCTGGACGGTGGAAGCCCAGCCTCTGGGAGGCGGTCGTCACAGGCCCCGAGGAAGGCGCGAGCCGGAGCCCAAGGGGCAAAGGTGAACAGTTGACTGACAGGTCTCCCCACCCCGCCGCCCCCGGCGATGCTAACAGACAGGGAAGCTGGGTCCCCAGTGCTTTGCAGCAGCTTTTCACCCCAAGAGTTGAAGCAGCCCTCCTGGCGTTGGCTTTACACTGTGGCCGGTCGTGGGCGAGAGCGACCCCTGGTGGCCGGGACTTTTGGTGCTATTTTCTGGGTGGGGTTCCCAGGGGAACCTCCTGGGAACCCTGTGATTTCTTTCGGGACGGTGAGCCGCCGGGGCCAGGGCACAGCGTGCGCCTCGGACAGCACCTCGGTGACCCCGCTCCACTGCCACTGCTCGTCGGGGTCACTGGACGCAGGTTTTTTTGTTATTTTTTAAAAAATATATTTTATTGATTTTTTTCAGAGAGGAAGAGAGAGGGATAGAGTTAGAAACATCGATGGGAGAGAAACATCGATCAGCTGCCTCCTGCACATCTCCTACTGGGGATGTGCCCGCAACCCAGGTACATGCCCTTGACCGGAATCGAACCCGGGACCCTTCAGTCCGCAGGCCGACGCTCTACCCACTGAGCCACACCGGTCAGGGCTGGACGCAGGTTTTAACGTTTGGTTCTGAGGAGGCCGGGCGGCTGGTCGGCATGGGCTGTGGTGACCGTGAGGCTCACGGAGGGACCCTCTTCCCTGGAATTCTGCGCCAGGAGCCGCCGGCGCTGGTGCGGTCCCGGCTCCCTTCAGAGGCGTGGGGGCGGTCGGGGCCACAGCTCGACTCCGTTTCTTGTTCCTCAGCTTTTGTCAATTACTACGTTTCCCTTGAAGAACAGCCGTCTCCCCGGCATCCGGGTTGAGCGTGAAAGGGGTGCCTTCTCAGAGCAGGCCCGGAGAAGCCGCTGGCTGCTCACACGAAACCACAGCTCTCCCCATAAACGCGGGAATTCTATGGGGCAGGCCCCGGACTCACCCCGCGGGAACGAGGGCGAGCCGGCCGGCCCCTCACCCTGGGTGCCCCCTGGTCGGCCGCCCTGTCTGTCGGGCCACGGCTGTGCTGCCTTCAGGCCACACTGGGCCTGGGGGACCCTTGGCAGCCCCACGTTCTGTCCCTCAGGCCCCCACACTCACCACCCGCACCCTGAGGCTTGTCCCCCGCGTTCTAAGACCCTTCCCTGGTCTCAGGCAGCATTTTCTCCCCAAAGGATCTGCAGGGTGTGCCCCCAAAAGGATGCACTTTGAATAGTTACTAATTCCAATGGGTTAAACCTGAAAAGAAAGGATAAATGTGCATACATTTCGGGGGGGGGGGGACACCTGTGTTACCGGTTTGTACAGAAGATGGGAGGAGCCATTGGCCTCAGAGTCTCTGTTTCCTGCTGGTAAAACCACCGGAGAAACAGCCGGGCCAGGGCTCCTGCCAACGGGAGCTGGAGGCGAGGACGGGAGGCGGGAGAAGCACACGTCCCTCCGGCAGGCGTGCCCGCTGCTCTCGGAGAAACCGGCTCGGAGCGCGTGTCGCCTGTGCCCCGTGGAAGGCAGCTGTGGTCCGTCCCCCCCCCCACTCCCCCCTCAGAGGCCCTTCCTCCCTCCGACCCCACAGCAGCCTCCCAGGTCCCCGAGGGCCAAATGCTGGACCTGCTCCGGGAGTCCCAGTTCGACTGCCTTGCCTTCCAGTGGCCACACGGTGTCACTGTTGTAACTCGGCCCTGCACTGGCCAGACCCGGCCCGGATTGGGGGGATGCCTGGGGGACCCCCTGGGGGACCCCCCTGTCCACTCCTGAGCATAGCAGCCCTGGGTCCCCGCCCCCATCCATGGAGACTCCCTCTCCCTCCCGGGGGACCACCATCCAGGGATGGGCAGCCCTTTCCTTAAACCCTCCGCGCGCTGCAGGTCGCCGGGAGGACGTTAGGGACAAAGGCTGGATGGAGCTTTGGGGTCAGCGCGGCCTGCTCACCCCGGGGAAGCCGGAGGCATTCAGAGGCCGGCCTTCCCTGGTGGAGCCCTTGTCGCTGAAGGGGGAGGAGTGGGGCCTCAAGGGCCTGGGGTCTTTTTTTATTGACGTCAGAGCGGAGGGGAGCGGGAGAGAGAGAGGGAAACATCCATGATGAGAGAGAATCATGGATCAGCTGCCTCCTGCACGCCCCCCACTGGGGATCGAGCCCGCAACCCGGGCCTGTGCCCTGACCGGGCATCGGACCGTGACCTCCTGGTTCCTAGGTGGGCGCTCAGCCCCTGAGCCACGCCGGCCGGGCCCCCGTCCTAAGGTTCACCGGGACGTTAGTTACACACACAGAGCCCCAGGCCCGCTTGGTCCTTCGGAATCTCAGTCACTGGCTGTGGAGCCGGATCTGTGTTCCCAACGCCCACGCTCGCCCACCCTCGTCGGCTCCCGCGAGCAGGGAAATGGGGGAAACACGGGGTCCCATAGCGTGTCTCTATTGTTATCTTTTTCCGTTGGTATAAACACCCCCCGTTGGAGTGGAGTCTGGGGGCTTGGTGGGTGTTTCCATCGCCCAGAGCATCTCCCCGCCCCGTCCTGTCCCGTCCAGAGACTAACGACTGGTCTGACCTCTCCCTCCCGGGGTCAGTTCTGCCAGTTCTTAACCCTCACGGAAACGAGGTCACACAGCACATGGACTTGGTCTTTATTTGCTGCTACTTGTTGATTTTTTAAGTCATGTTTCTTGTGATGTTGACACTGCACAGCACACCGTTGACCCCCCTAACTAACTCGCAGGAGTGAAGTGTGTCCGCGTTGCCGGGCGACCCCTGCTTTGCTGGCTCCTCGGGGGGAGCGATGTTCTCCTTCGTGAAAAGCCGCTGCACGCCCAGCCTCTGGCGCACTCTGGTCTTTTGTGTTTTCATTTGGTTCGAGCTCTTTCCAGTTCCCCTCTTCGTTTCTCCTCTGGGCTCACGGCGCTTTAGAAGTCTTGCATTTCGTCCCCGGACCGTTGGGGGTGTTCCAGGCGGCCTTCTGCGCCTGCTTCCTGGTGTGACTCCATGGTCGCCAGATCACATACTTCGCACAATTGGAATCTTTTTGGATTCCTCGCGGCTGTTTGATGTGCAGGACGCGGTCGGTGCTGTTGGCATTCCCCGTGCGCCTGGACGGAACGCCGCCGGCCGCTCTGGCTGGTGCTGAGGGAAGGTCAGGGGGGCGTGTTGGCCACGGTGGTGTGTGGACCCCTGGGTCCGCGCTGATCTGCTATCCCCCGATGTCAATCGATTATTGGAAAAGGACGGGGCGCTATCAGGTCACAGTCGGGGGCTGAGATCTGGCGTTAGATGAAGTTTGAGGACGTCGAGTCCTGTATGAAGTGGACCCTTTGCAGTGGGAGGGCCTCGCCTGCGCCGGTAGCGTCTGTTCCCAAAGCTCCTTTGCCTCCTTATCATATGGACACCGCGGCTTCCTTCTGATCAGTGTTGTCATGGTTTATTCTCCTGCCCCCAATCTTTTACTTTTAACCTAGTTGTGCTTTTTAAAATACACATATTTTATTGATTTTACAGAGACAAGGGAGAGGGATAGACAGTTAGAAACATCGATCAGCTGCCTCCTGTACACTCCCTACTGGGGATGTGCCCGCAACCCAGGTACATGTCCTTGACCGGGATTGAACCTGGGACCCTTTGGTCCACAGGCCGACACTCTATCCACTGAGCCAAACCGGCTAGGGCTCTTTTTGTTTCTTGTGCTTAGAGTTAGATTCTCAGATCTGTAGATATCTAGTTTATATCGTATTTAGAAAATTTTCAGCCATTCTTTTTTTTTTAAAAAAAAATATATTTTTATTGATTTCAGAGAGGAAGGGAGAGGGAGAGAGAGAGAAAAACATCAATGATGAGAGAGAACCATGGATCGGCTGCCTCCTGCACGCCCCATACTGGGGATGGAGCCGGCAACCCAGGCCTGTGCCCTGACCAGGAATCGAACCCTGACCTCCTGGTTCATAGGTTGACGCTCCATCACTGAGCCCCGCCGGCCAGGCCCCCGTGTTGATTTTGGGGAAGGAGATGCCATGTGCAATGGTTATGGGAGGGGTGGGGGGTCCTCTTCATGGGGAGGAATGAGGTGTGGGGGGCGCTGTGTTTGTGGCCTCTGGGGGCGCGTTGGGGTGGTTCTCCCTGCGTGTGGCTCTGTCCTTGGCATCCATGGGACCCGATGACACGTGACCTGTTCTCCTTGTTGGCAGCATCCCGCACGGAGCCGCCTGCACCGCTTCTGAGGGTGCGACCGGCCTGGATCCAGGCATCACGTCCCCGGAGGTGACTGAGCCGAGGAAGCACCCACAGAAAGCCGGGGGCCCAGCCGGCTCTCCACTGCCCAGCCTGCCAGCACCCCGGGAGCCAGAGAGCACCCCCAGCTCCATGCCCGGGGCCCAAGACCCCCCTGAAGCTTACTCCGTC